CCCCGGCCGCCTGCCCCCGGCGGCTCCCTGAGGCAGCGGGAAGCGGGGGACGGGGACCGAGAGGGTCTCTTCTTAGGAGAGGGGGAGGCAGCGCTCAGGGCCTGGAGACAAACGAAGTGATGCTCGCAGAAGCTTCAAATAAACACTGAACGACGAAGAATAAAATCCCCGGTTTCCCCCCAAAATTCAAAACTAACGCCAGCAGAGCGGATGAAATTTCACGCACGTTTTCCTTCTCTTCTTCGAGGGACTGTGAGACAAGCACTGTGCTAGGCAGAAGGGAAAGCAGGCTGCCTTGCTAACAGCAAAGTATCTCCGGCGGAAAGGAGAAGCCCTCCTCCTCACCTCCCCTCCAATAAACATGATAAACACAGTTAAAATGCAAAGAGATGAACTGTAGCTAGCGTTAAACGATAAACCCTCAGGCATGCAGGTGTGTCGCTGCTACGTGACATTTTACTTTTAAGATTCTGTGAGCTGCTTAATCAGGCTGCCTAAATGCCTTTAGGAGCAATGCACTTTTAGCTGATTTCTCTATGCGCTCTTAATTCAAGGTATGTCACCTCTTCTTCAGTTTCTAATAACACCAACTTATTTACAGTCTGCCAGAGAAGAAAACAGAAAGGCTAGGGGTTTTTTTCTTCATAACATAGCTGTAAATGATTGTTCATTATTAGGGACACATGGATGCCACACTGAAGCTGCAGGATGCACATAACATGAAAGGGTGTTAAAGACTGTTTTGTTACCTGCTGTCTAAGTATGCAAGCCTATACTATTTTTCTTCCCCTCCTATGTGCCTGACACTATTTCACTTTCTGCCAGTGACAGAGAACTCCCTGCCCCCAGCCCAAGTACAGGAACACCTCTGTAGATAACCACCCTATTTTAAAATGCAACTTTGTCCAAAGCACAGAGCTAGACAAAGCCATACCTCTGATGGAATCCACCACACGGAGCAACGTGGGTTAAAGTGAAAAAGACCCTGAGAAAATGTTATTAAGCAGGAGGAAACAACACTGGGAATGGACAAGGGTAACAGCTGAGACCAGCACGGGGCTGAGGCAGCGCTACGGCTCTGGCTATGCAGGACAGACAGCAGGAACGGGGGAAGCCAGATGCCTCTGTCTCAGTAAGCAGCTGGGAAAAGACAGTCACAACCGTGAAGGACTTGAGATGACCACTTCACCCTCACGTGCCAAGGAAGAACTAATGGCAAAATAGTATGGTATAGAAGTGGAGGTATAAAAACGTCTTCTGAAAACTGCTCTTCTTAAGGCTTGCCTACACAGATGGTCCTACTGTTGCTTTAGTAGACGAGTGAAACAAATAGGACATTTCTATATAAAAACTAGTTCTGATGGAGCAGACAGAGAGGTGCAGAAAGGGTAACAGTGAGTTGCACATGCTGCAGGCATCCCTCTGGAGGTAGCCACCCCCTGAACCCAGACCCTAGTTTTGTGGTACTAAAATTACAAAGAGAGCCAGGCTGGAAAGAAACCAGAGGAAAAGAACAGGGTTTCTAACCAAAAGGGAAGCTTGTGCATCCAGAACGCCTCGCTACAGCTCAGAGACATTAAAAAACAAACAAACAAAGAAAAAAAAACCCACACCCCTCAGACAACTCCTAATTCCAAGTTTGAATTCTGTTTAGTTCCTGGGCCGAATTTAATCCCAAAGTGATATAAATCTAGATTAACACAAAACCTCAATATTTTGATGAGGACACTGTCCCTAAACATTTTTTTTTCTTCTATGCCTTTCATTGTTCTGTTATGTAAAGTACCCAAAATGTGATGCTGCTAGCTAGAGTCCAATCAGAAGTTTTTACAGTTTCATAGGGGCTGATTGTGCTGTTAACCTAAAAGAAAGATAAGACAGGCTGGGGAGCAGGGAGGGAGAAAAGGACAGATTTGGAATTACAAAGGAAACGGTAGAGAAGAATACAGTACAGGCCAAGCTGGTAAAAGCCAGACAGTACAGTGAATGCAAAATATAGACAAAATACTAATGGATAGCAAGAGGGAATTCTTGAGCTATATACACATTAGTTAACTACGCTTCACTGCGTGGCACCTGCATGTTCTATCTTTGTTCCTAGTATCACTTACAATAGAGTTGCTTCAGACCGAGCTGGCAGCTCCGCGGTAGCGCAGCCTACGCTGGCCCTTGCTGCCCATCTCCCCGCCTCCCCTGCCGTGGCCGTCCTCTGACCCGGTGCCGAGCCTGCCACGCTGACAGGCAACCGGCTCGGCCAAGAAAGGAGGAGAGTGTTTTGCCACCATGCGCACTGAAAGGCTTGGCACCGAGCGAGACGCGCATCGCCGCCGGCCCGAGGGCCAGGCAGGGATACCTCGTCAGGGCAGGGGCAGGCCCCCTGGCCGCCGCGGTCCCATGGGGTTCGGTGCCGGGGAACCGCAGCCTGCGGAGCGCGTGTCTCTGCTGTGGTTCAGCGGTGAGGGACACCCTGCGCCAGGCCAAAGCTGCTACAGCCACATGATGCAAGATACTGATGCAGTATAAACTCATTCTGTAGTTCAAACCTATTAAATACTTCTGACAGGTTTTATTTGTACTGGCGGTCTTACATGAGACCAGCATAAATCCGGTCTAAGTTCTAATGTCTTCCCCCAATTTTGACAGAAATGTCATCTCACGAGCAGGTTCTGATTGCAACCTAATCTGTCCTGCTACAGGAACACTGTGTAGATTTAGTTCCAAATGATTGTGAAACTGTGTCCTAACTTCCTCAAGCGTGTGTTTGACTGCACTTCCCCATCACTAATCCTACAGTGCCACAGCTGGTTTAAGAGCTCCACTTCAGCCACTTCTACTCCCCTGCTAATGGGTGGAGAACTGTTTTTGTGGCTGTATCTTGCAGTAGATCCATAAAGTTATCTGGATTAAAAACAAAAGGAATATGAGCTTGATAACACTTTAAAATGCTTTAACCGTAGCATTTAGCAAATAAGCCTAGAGTTCTCAGAAGGATTCACAAGTTTCTTTTCCTTTAAAGGGGGCAAGAAATAAAGATCAGGGGAAGGCTAATTCAGAATATTTGACTTAAAATAATTGCAAGGACTCATTTTTATGAATGAGATTCTTTGTACAAAACCATAGCCTGCCATAATGCTGTTACAAAAAAAAAACATATATAGTAAATCTCTCAGCCTTTCAGAGCAAGGAATGATGCAGAATCTCCTCAATCTATGCACCTCATAAAATTACTCTCATTTGATTGTTAAACATAAAATAATAAAAAAATTGTATTTAACATAATCTTTCCATTCCATACTTGTTGAGGAAAGATGCCAAAACTGATCTAGGATATGAAACCCAAATACTGATAGTCAGTTGACACAGAAATAAGACCCAAGAATCTGGTTAGAGAAATGTCTGCCCCTAATCAAATTTTCTGTAAGTAAATGAGCATGGATGTATCAGAATCTTTCCAAAGCTAAAAGTCACATGAGGATGTGGATTGGGTAATACCCCAAAATTCATGTTTCCTCCACTCAGTCTAGTGTAACCATTTATGTTAAGCCTCAGTTTTTCTATCCATAAAATACAGATTGTGATATTTGCTTGGTTCTAGCATTATGTGAAGTGCTAAAATGTCTGCACATTAAAAAAAAAATTGTATTTCTGTCAAGGATTGAGAGAGAAGAGCCATTACAAAAAGTAAGTTCTTGAAACAGAAAAACTGTTCTAAATTGGTTCAAATCCTTATGAAAGATTAAAAGAAATCATGGAAATATTTTTCAAAGATTATCCCCTTTACCTCACCAATTAAAAACACAGATTTTGGATTTCAAGAGTAAAGCACATACTAGAATAGCTTGGAGAAGTCAGCTTTGTAACATTTTTTGTGTAGTTTATAGCTAAAAAAAAGAAACTCTGAAGCAATGTGAGAAACAACACTACAAGAATCTAAAGTAGGGGCAAGGTCCTTTATTACGCCTACTGCCTTCTTTTGGCTCTTGGTGTTTTGCAGTTTCAGTTCTTTTGCACGCAATAGAAATACTTTGTGAGATATGGATGGATGGAGAGCAATTGTTCTGAGGACCCCTACGGTTCCATGTTTCTTGGAATTTGAACCTGAGAAAGTCTAGCAAGACACAAGTTAGCTTATGTTGCCTTTCAAAGCACTCAGTATGCCACGGGCCAAAATAACTTTCCTTAAAACTGCATTTTGCTAGTGCTCCAGTCCAAAGACTTCTGAGAGCTAAAGAAAAAGAAACTGTAAATGAATAACAAAATAAGAGCTACTACCCATGGAGAGAAGAGATATTTGAGATCCCAGTGAAAACAGGGAGGTGAGAAAAGCTTACCGGGGCCTGGAGAAGCACTAGAAGAATGATGCACGCAGATGCATGCACATTAAAATAGACAGATTTGGTCTAGAAAAGAGGTCACTAATACACTCTGTTTCTTGAAGAAAGAATTCACAAAGTCCTCAGAGACAAACACATTCTTCTGAAGAATGGAACGATTAATTCCTAAATGAAAGGTTAGCTCTTTACGAAAACAGCATCATTTGGCATTTTATTTTATTTTCAACCTGGTTTCAAAAGAACCAAGTTTTATACAATCATAGTATAAACATACAGGTAAGTCCCTTCTCTAATCTTTTTTTTTTACTCAAGTGTTTGACAAATCTCAAGTAAATCTGACAGAGGTAGGTCAGAACAATGCTTAATTTCCCACAAATGCTGTGAAAAAACAGCACAGAACACACACTGAGATGCCCCAACTGTATGAAAGGCTACAGTATAAATATGTGTATTACTACAATCTGTATTGAAGCTTTCCCCACCACCCCGAAATGTCCCATCAGGAAGTGGGGAGAACTATTAGGTCTGCCCGTTCCCATGGGACAGAATCCAGATGCGGTGGGGGTGGGGGTGGGGAATATTGCTTAAAAACCTCTATTGTTTGGAGTTTTTAGTCTTTTTAAAGACTAAGTCATACGACAGTTCCTTAAAAGACAGAGAATCACAATATTTAATATGAGATTTGAAAATTTAGAATTTCTTTTGATTAACACTAAAAATCTTGCCTTTATTAACCTCAAGCCATCAATGCCATACTGAGAAGGTGAAGTAATTTCTAGTTTTAATGCACAAGAATTCCAAATGATTTGCTAAATGCATATACCCACTTCAGACACTAATCATCTAAATGCAGCTGTAGATGAGGTGGAGCAAAATTGTATGCTAGCAACATTATTGAGGGAAATGAAATGTGTTTCTGCAAAAGGAACTCTGGAGAAATGTAGTCTGCAAGACCTCACTATCTTTGAATTTGGCTAGAATAGAGGCCACAAGCCACATTTTATGGATATTTGCCATGGAAGTCACAGGCATAGCTCATCAAGGTCCTCATTTACTTGCCTTCCAAAACCTATCAACTTCAGAGGCACAGTATGTCCCAACACATAAAAAACACAAAACCCCCCCAAAAAAAAAAAACTTCTTCACTGTGAGGGTGACTGAGCATTGGAACAGGTTGCCCAGAGAGGTGGTGGAGTCTCCTTCCCTGGAGATATTCAAAACCCGTCCGGATGTGATCCTGGGCAATAAGCTCTAGAGGTCCCTGCTGGAGCAGGGAGGTTGGACTAGATGATCTCCAGAGGTCCCTTCCAACCTAAACGATTCTGTGATTCTGTAACACCATGCTGCACTTTTTGTCCATGAGTCGCCATTATCACATCCTGCAGAAGAAAAAAATTCCGAAGCGTGCCTTATTTTCAATTTACTTACTTCAAAAGTAATGATGAAATGAAGACAGGACTTACTCTTATCTCTATTCTGATAGTGATCCAGAAATCTCGCTCAAGACTAATGACAGACAGTTTGAGGTAGAGCTCCTACATACAAGCTTGAAAATACAACTTAAATTAGCAAAGGGAGATACTTCCTCTCTAGAGTCAATTCCATTACGCATTTACAAACTTCAAGGTGGAAAGGACATGAATACAATTGTATTATCAGGAAAAGTAGACTCGCATGTGAGGAAAGAGGAAGGATAATATTGCTAACTAATAACATCAAGTTTTCTTTTCTTTTGCTGGGAATTGTGCCCGATACCAGTAACTATGGGAAATCTTGTAGTGGACAAGATTAAAAAGGGTTAACTAGCCTGATTAAGTATAGCTGGTCCTCTTTCTAAACAAAATGACAGTCCTTTTTTCGGTGAAATGTTGAGTTTAACCGTGTCCTCATCGCAAGCCAGAACCACGTGAACCTGTACCTTCCCAGCTAAACCTGGAGACACGCTGTGGGGCCAGTACACCTTATGAAGGAAATAAGCCAGTTGGTTTTTACAGCCTTGAAGGAAGACAAGGCACAGGGACGAAAGGAGGCTGAAAATACAATATGCATATGAAGGAACTAACCAGACTTGTGAAAGAAATGAAATTTTAACACAGTAATCTGTTTAAGAATGTTTTCCCCCTTATTTCAGTGTCAGAGACAGACTACCCTGTGAAGAAATTTATTTTCATTTCTCAGTAACACAAAGTCCAAGCAATTACGTTCTGTCAGCTCCTCACTCTTAGCATTTCAGCCCACTGGACAATTTTGAATGAATATGGAAGAGGAGAAAAGGTCTTGAAGGTACTAAATTCTTTCATATTTCATGAAAATAAAAGATTAGGCAGATGAGAGAAGCAGTATTAGTTGTTCTACCCAGGGAAAATTGTTCATTCTTATTTGCATGAGGCAATCCATGCAGGAGTTCAACTATGAGACACAATGATAAAGGAAATCTGTCATCATTTTGCGCTGCTCACAGAATGGCTTCCTACTGACACTATCAATCTTTATATGAATCAAAACCCCCATATTCCACTACAAGCAATATGACAGTACTTGCTAATTCAACTGAGGGTTCCCCCCACCCCAGGGCAGCATTTCTGATGTTCGGAACACCAAAAGAGGTCATTGCATTTGTTTTTCAGAAACATCCTAAGGAAGGAAGTATGTTGACTCAGAAGAGTTGATATTATTTCTCTTAGGAGTATAACAGACCAAGGAAGACAACTTTTTGTATGTAAACGGCTTATAACTTCTAGAAGACTGTTCAGTAAACATAGCTTGCTTTTCTCACTTGACACCAGTTTGGTTATACAGCTTTGAATTTGCTATTTCTCAGTACTATCATGGAAAAAGAAAAGCATTTTGGGGTGGTTTTGCTGAAAGTTTCCTATGTTGCAGTAAAATAATTTAGCCTACCCATGAGCATAGGGATATTAAATACCTGTAAGAACGCAGATGGCAGAACAGTAACCAAACATTTGTGTAATAGCATCAGTAGATTACGTTTAGAAATGCCTTTTTATCTTTTAAGGGCAGAATATCTATGGATTGAAAACTTAAAAGTTTGTCCAAGAACATGAAGCAAACAGGAATAACGGAAACTTTTAGGACAAAAAAGTACCACCAACAGTTCATGGTGTAGGGAGAACTTCTCCAACAGGCTTGCTGCCATATTGTAAAGAAATTAAAGAAATATTTTAAACAACACATTTTCACAAATTGGATGATTTTTATTTTAAAATCTTTAAGTCACTGATGATTTTGAGCTTATCTTCTCGCACAAAATGAAAATCTTCCTGAACTTCTGTGGTGCAACTTTGGGTTAACTAGAACAGTTTAAGTAAATAAAACATTTAATGGAAGAACAACTCTAATAGTTCTGTACAGACTGTCACTGTTTTGGAACTAATATTTTATACATAATTTAATTTTTTAAAAATCAAAAGATTTTATGGTGGTAATTTTTGTGCAGTAGAGTGAACATGTTTGACAGAGTAGAGGAAATAGATATGCTTCACATGGAGCAAGAAGTTGAGTACTTCAGCCATTAATGCAAATGCACTATGAACTTTAAAGGAATTATTTTAAAAACAACAAGGTAGGATAGGGTTTAGAGGACATCAGTAACACATGTAAAATATGCAAAATGATGTGGAGATTTTAGTTATGCTTAGTAAAGCACTACGATATTTCCATTTTTGCTGAGAACATACGGATGACTCATAGCTTTGAAAAATAATACTGATAAACTTCAAAGTCCAAGTCTACTAACACACGCTCATATTGGAAGTTCAGAAACGCTGTGTGACAACTTTCAACATTCAAACTTGCCAGCTGCATTAACCTTACTAAGCAATATTAGATACATTTTAAGAGATTCTCAATGCTTTTTAAGGTTTTTAAACTTAAACAAGAACAGATACTGGTATGGAGTAAGGCAGAACCTTTGTCAAAACAGGGTAGTATTAGGAAAAAGGAAAATGTTATGCTATCCACCTCTTAAATCTCTTTCTCGCAAAAGCTCATTGGCAGAAATAGGCTTTACAGGCTTTTATACTAAATCTATTTCACAGGAAAAGACTCCAGGAACCAAGATCTGAACTTTTTTTTTTTTTTTTTTAAAGTTGGCTTTTCCAGCCATTGAAATAGTATAATAAAGCTGGACTTTTGCACAAAATCTTATCATTTATTTCAATATTCTTGCTAAAGTTTCCAATCATACAATCAATTTATTTTCCACATCAATTTAAGAAGCCTCATCTTATTGCCTCAAATACATACAGAATTATTGCATACATCTTGCTTAATGACCAATCAAGTACTCAGACAGACATATATAATGCTTTTCAGTGTGTCTGTAACGTTATTTTTCCTATTAGTTCTTCACAAATGGAAGTCATCACTACCGCTCAAAAACTGATTCATAAACACAGTTGTTCAAAAGGTACAATTAAAAAAAATTGAAGTCAAAAGATGTCAGTTTGTTGTGGTCCACAGGATTATTGAAAATGCCCTTATTTTTGCTATAAATATTCAAATAGCACATGGCAAGAAAATACCAAGCATTTGGGTAGAGAAATCAGTAGTCCCTGAGTTATGCTGTGCAAGCATTTTGGGCAATCAGTTTTAGCAGATGTGCAGGAGCAACTTTCTTGAATACTCAAGAAAAGTGTTTATGCTATATTATAACATATGTTATATTATATGCTTTATGCCGTTGTTATAACAGTAAATTGCACCTAAATGCATCAGGCACACACTGCCATTTCATGAAGTTACATTACACAAGTAATTAACAGGAAATATCTAGGAAAGGGCTTCCTAAATGCATTATTTTCAATTAAATTGTAGGTAACTGAAGAGCAAAGCACACTTCCTCATCAGATTAATGTAACCTTCACTATTTATTTGTGGCATGGGATAATGTAACACTACCATTTCAATCCCATTTCTTTTCCATCCAGCAATCCAAATTTTAAGAAAACATAGCCAAGCAACATAACAGAAAAGCATGCTTCATGTTCAGTTATGTCTATAGATGACACTTGGAAGTTACAGCTACAAAAAAATCAAGCAATTCAATATTTGGAGGTTAAAGCTGTGCATTCCTAATGTAATTACAGTTACATCATCTGTTACCGTACAAACTTTTCTTTGCTAGAACAAAAGATGAGAAGTGCTGACTTAATAAACTGGAGAATGGAACTAACTCAGTTTCTTCTTTTTTGAGTATGACATTTCAGCAAGACATCAGTCTTACATTACCATTCAAAGGCTAACCTAAAGAATTACTTATCTTATGGTACCCATGGAGGCATTATAATACTTCCTCACAAACATTAATGCAACAATCTCCAATTAGAAGATTCAATCAATGTTGAACACATGCTGACATATTCGTTAAGTAACATAGGACTTTGTAGGATTTTACTTAACATGACTTTGGAATATAAGCTTTCACTTATCTGCACTATGAATTCCTAGAAGTCAGTCCTTGGAAGCAACCTGGGTACATATAGAGACAGATCAACAACTGGTGATGGCAAGTTCCTCACCATCTGTAAGGATTCTGCAAGAGGCAAATCTATTCTTCAAGGATCAAGCTGCTTATTCTCTCCACCAGTACGAGAGGGGAGACATTTTGCTACTGATTTCACTGATTGGAAGGGGACTACAGCCACGCCCCCTCCACCCCAAGCCTGGAATACAGTGAAGTCTAATAGCTACAAACCACTGCCCAGTCTTCCTTCTCTCGCTTCTTCAGGCCTGCCAAAGTTTACCCTTGTCTTAGGTTAAACGTAAGTGCAAAAGTCTTTTTTAATCCTACCTCCATCAATCATTCTAGTTAGCTTGTCATAGCACCTCTTTCTTCACTTGCAGCATGTATTCAAATAAGGCTACTGTAGTGTTCTCTTCATTGTGTGTGTGTGTGGAATGGAAAAGGAAGTCTCTTTACTGTCTATTCCTGTTCTCTGTAACACAACAGCCTTGGCCACCAGGCACAACCACAAAGGAATTTCTGCTCATTCTAGCAGCTCTAGACAGAAGCATATTCTGATCAAACAGCATCTATAGGGAAGTTTGCCAACGTCCTCTAACAAACCTGCAGTTATCACTGGCATCAGAACAGTCCCCCTATCAAAGACACTATTTCAAATTATGGAAATATGTTAAGCCATGTCAGAATCTGTTTTTAATTCTTCTTTTAAAAACAGATAATTATATTCCACCTTCACTTCACTGTGAGAACCACTAAAATACCAGTAAGTTTTTCTTGAAATTGAGTGAGGTGATTTGAGACCATGGTAGACAGGAGGAAACATGGACCTAGCAATTCCAACTAACAGCAACCAGTACGGCAGGTGCTTCACCAGCACGTACTTCCCAGTGCAGCTGGGGCTGTATTTCACCCAAGGAAAATTATGCTTGGCACCCTTCTTAACTTAACTTTTACAAGTACAGAAAATTCTCACAATGCAAAGATGCAGGCAATCCTTGAACGACAAATACTGCTGGACAGCCCCCCAACTTAAGACAAGTCTGCATTAAATCTAAAATATTACCTAGCAAAGTAACTGATTCTTTTTGTAAAGGGTCTTAGCAATACCTTCCACGCTCTTCAGAACAGATTGTCCTTTCCCCCGCTTCCAGGTCTGATCTTCATGCCAGACGGGACAACTACCCTCCTGCAAGAAAACTGGCCATTCTCTTGTATTTTAAAATTCAAATTTAAATTTCGTTCATGAATTCCCGCAATAGGCTGCAAAGAATTTGTGCATTTCCCAAAATATTAACTTTCATGCAATGCATGGCACGTGAAGCACAAGTTATGCAGAAATAAATGCATGCTAAGGTGTGGTTGAGGAAGTGGTTTCTGAAGCAGGTTTTTCACCAATTTTAGGCATAAACTCTTTTACCCACTGATGAGGGGAAAAAAAATTATAGACAACTAAATATACATCTTAAACATATTCTGTTGACATTGGACATCAGGAAAATAAATCAACCTGCATTTTAATATATCTTATATATACAAAGACAGTTTGTAAACTTTTGCACAACATCAGTATCTTCTATGGAACCATAACAACCACCAACCTGGGGAAAAAAAGTGCAAGCAAAAAAAATGAGTCTTGGCTGAAGTCAAGCATGGAACAGAGTAATCGGACAATCTATCAGAATATCAGGAACCATATTAACTGGAGTCATATAACAGCATCAAATTGGACTATACCGTATTTTCCCTTTATCATCCATTCAGGTTCAGAAGCCTGAATTTTTTCACCTTGTCCAGGTTTTAGGCCAACCTGAGTGTCAGACTTCAGTGTTCTCACACTACAGAGGGGTGCAGGATGAAACTTGTTCAAGGCTTGATAAAATGGAACAGTATATTCCCATTTTCTATCGCCTGTTAATTTTCTATAGTTTAGATCACCTTTAAAAAGGAGCAAGTTTGACTTCTGTAAATCAGCATACAAATCAGGAGCAACTTTAGCCATACTAGAAAATTCATGTGGCAAAGTCCAAAACATGTGATCATGGTAGACCCAAACTCCCTTTTTCAAATTGCCCTCCCAGTTTATCCCACATCTAGACATCCACATGTGATTAGCTGACTGCAGTTGTTTAATAGTCCAGTTAAAATCATGCTTGGTGGTATCGGACACATACCATGGAATACTTTTTCCATGGAAATAAATTTCATCAGCTAGCTTTGATGATAACAGGAAGTCAGCCAATACGAGATCAGTTACAAGTTCAAATCCAGCATTATCCAGGATTATGTCAACTCTAACAATAGAATTATCTGTAGGGTTTTTTTTGGCATTTATAAGCAATGACCAAAGTTTTTCCATATCATTCACTAAGATGTAAGGTGTCAGGTCTTCCAGGGATTGTAAAGGACTAGATTTCTGAGAGCTGTCTTCACCAGCTGAAAAGGAAAGGTCACACTTATTTCCCCACAATGTCACCTAGAAAGAGGGGAAAAAAAAAAACACAAAAACATTTGCTAAGCCTCATTGTAGTTATATTCTAAACGTTACACACACTAAAGATTTTTTTGTTTTTACTTTCGGGACTTGGAGGAAAACGTAGAGTCAGAGCCTTCAAGCTTTAATAAAACTCAGCCTCTTGCACAGCAACCTTAAAACAGGGAAGATCTCTTGGAAGAAACCAAACAATGCTCCGTATTTATGTAGACATCAGAAATGTGCATCAGGAGTGACAAAGTTGGAACATTCAGATTAACATAAACATCCTGATCACAGTATTAAGAAAATGTATTTTGCAGACTGTAATTGCGGAAAACTCAGTGGGAATACAGAAAAAGGAATAACAACAGCAGGTTAAATTACGTATTATCTTGAGCTGAGAAAGAACTATATTTTAAGTATAAATTCATGAAAAATAAAAATAGTTTAAAGATACACCAATGAGGTCTTTATAAAGATTTATCAAATAACTAGGTGTGTATTGCTGCCAGCTAATGGATTCATTTGTAATCCTATGATATTTCATACTCTATCCAAAGGCATTATTTTCAAGAGTAATGAAGTTATAAAAACCCTTTAAACCTCTTTCAACACAGACTGGCTTCTAACTTTTTTCCAAAAAAAAGAACTCTATAAAAATTTTTTAAAGTATTAGTAAAATGAACCATTTTAAAATGTTATAGTTGGACGAAGGCCATCTTGAACTTGACTTAAACGCTTTGGAGATATTGCTTTTGAGAGAAAGACGGTTTTTCAAATATGCAATAAAGACCAGCAGCATAATGAAAACGTCAAACTTCATACAAGCAATCAAAGCTTAAATATTTCCGGAGTAACAACACAGTACAGCTGTCAGGATTTCATAGTATTTTTACAAGGAGGAGAACTAGATTTTATTTCCATATAAAGTTTTAAATCTCTATAACCTCAAAGTTTTTGTTTGTTACAGAAGAGAGTTTTATTGTTGTTGTTTTGTTTGTTTGCTTTAAAATCTTGTGTTAAGCATTACTAGTTTACCTGCAGTAGCTTAAAAAGTTCCTCCTGCAGTTGCTTTTCATTGAGATCCTTGATATTCTTAAGAAGTTCCTGAAAGTAAGTGCATAAGGCAATAACAGCCTGTTGGGATTCAAAGAAATTTTGAGCTTTTGCTTCCTTAAATACGTCAAAGTGGTCAATAGGTGGGCTAAAAATAAAAGGGAACAAATTTATTAACATACTTCCCACATTTTTATTGACAGCATATGAAATACCCACGAAAATATAAGCTTGGAGCTCAGCTTTTACTATGTAGTATTAGGGATCCTAGCCTTTCCACCTCTGACTAGAGTAGATTCTTATACAACTCCAAAAACAGCCCGACATACCTTATTGATACAAGCAATAAACTGGACGTCTTTATCTTATTAGCAATACATTCTGAAAGTGACCAGCTGTTCCAGTCGCGGCGATTTTGAGAACTGCACATATACAAGCAATTTTTGAACTCCATTCCTCATTTAAAAAAGGATTAAAACTATAACATACAAGTGAACAAATGCAGTGAATAGGTGGCCCAATTTTAATCGCATTTGCAGTTTTTAATCGCATTTGCGGTTACAGAAGTATATTTTCCATATCAAAGCCTCTTACAGTAGACTTTGGAAAAATAACGTGACAGAGAAGACAAAATAATTTAGTTCTTAAGATGGAAAAGTGTTTATGTTTTATATATAACAAGAGACATATTTGTACTTACGCCTTTTGACAAATGATTCAGTGAACCTTCCTCTAAGCGTATGCTTAAGAGCAGCTAAATGACAGAGAAACTTAAAACTTACTAATGAAAAGCATCAGTTCAATTTCTGAAGTGCAACCCAGAAGATCCATCTCACATTTTAAATTTTTTCCTGAAAGAGCTGAAATTACGCAAGCTGAAACAAAGTCCCATTGCTACGCTTCTATCCCTGTAATACTAACGGCACAGCACTATGCATGAAGCTTGAACTGTTTTTTTGGCAGCAGTGGGGCCTTAAAATGCTCATTCATGCCCCATTACATGGTACTGGCACTTCTCCACAGCCCCAGCACAATCAATTCTTCCTGCCAAGTTATTTGCAACAAGGATCAGCTCCCGAAGTTTGATGCAACACATGGCCTGAAAATACTGCTGTAACTAAGAAGATGCTGTAGAATGAAAAACAGGGGCTGCTTAAGCTTGGTCTACTGCCATCAGAAACGGCTCTCAGAAACTCTTCAGCTTTTTAGCAGCAAAACGAGTTGAAAGGCCCAACAGATCAGCGGCTCTCCCATTCTACATTTTAGGCTAATTCTAGACTCATAAACCTTTTAGAAATATTAAGTAACTTTCAGATCTCAATACACATTTGTTTGCAAGGTAAATGGAAGCAAGATTTAGAGCTTTGGTATAGAGCAAGTCACAGAAACCAGAGCAGAAAAAAACAAATTTAAAATCTGCTGCATGGAAGACAGGAAAGTGCTAGCTTTGGATTTGGAGTGAGAGGCAAGAGAAAAGGAACGTGGTAAACACTTAAGCTTTTTCTTTTAACTTACTCCTCAGCTGTCTTCCTTTCTCCTAAAAAGGAAACTGAGAAGAACAGCGTTTTAGAAAGTAGTAACATTGAGCTAGCACTTACTTTTGTGCTAATGCTGCATGGATTCTCCGATACATATAACACTCTACATATAACCAAGGGGCCTGAAACCAGCTTGGTTCTCCATTTCCATTTGATAGATTTCGTTGATAGTCCAGGTATTGGTTCCACAGCGCAGTATCAGGCAGCTCATCTTCTAAAGGGGTCACTGGCTTGTCTGTTTGCACTTCATTCCGTAATTTAGAGAGGAAGGATATAGCTCTCTTCTCTGCTTCAACACCCTTCTGAAATAAGTGGAGAACAAAAGTTCCTATTCTGAATATTCATTCCTATGGCGCCACAGATCAACTTTTCAGAAGAGTAATAAGTGATAATCTTTAACAGCACACGTGTCGTAGAAAAAACAAATCTCTCTACCATCAAAATCCTTCTGTTAAGCCCCATTTTACACCTAATACATCCTAAAATGAGTCAAATATTGGACTTCTTTTTAGATTAGCCTTTTTGCTCTTTTTTTCAAGAGCAACATGAAGCACTTCCATCTTCAGAAGATGCTAAAGTATATTAGACATAGCATCAAAACAAAGGAGAAACTGAGGCAGCTGAAGAACAGAAAGACAGAAAAACATTAAACAGAAAGGAGAGTTAAGAAACGCATGAGAGAGAGCTACAAGAAAGAGATGACCAAGAAAAAGAACAACAAAGAGATTAAGAAAGCTAAGTAACAACAATAGAAAGAAACCAGTAACAACAAAGAGAAAGGATCTCAGGGATTACAAAAATGCTCAGTGTATAACGACGTAAAGAGAGACCTTATTCTTACCTCACCATGTTCTTCAAAGAATTCATTTTTATGTCGATGCAGAGTATCAATAACTCTTGTGAGGATTTGAGGTAGTCTGTCCTTAATTGTAAAATATGCAAAAGATCTAAAAAGGAAAGGATCAAAATTTTATTACTGAGAACAAGCAGTGAAATACCCTTTTTGTTTAAACAAATACAAGCTCCAAAAAGTAAGTTCCACTGCCTTTACAGCAATACACACACACACAAAAAAAAAAAAAACTGGTCAAGCTCTCAGGTATACTTTTGAAGGAAAAGAAGAGAAATTTGTCTTTTCAGAGAGTGAAATGCTAACAGGTTGGCCCAAGTAAAAGCACAAAAATTTAAACGAATTCCACACAAAAATGCCATCTCTAATTGCTCAGTTACCCAGAGGTAAAGTCAAAGAAATTTAAATTTATAATCACAGAGAATGGTTTACAATTTAGTTACATCTTATATATAACTAACCAACTTTAACAACAAAAAATTTGTGCCACTTGCTCTCCAACATATACTTGATTTACATTTCCCCTAGAGGCTATTTACTTTTGAGAAGATCAATTAGCAAAGCATGACCAACCTTACAGAGAGCTTTAACCTAAATCAGAGAGAATGCATTTATTTAAGGATTTCTCTCGCTAGAGCCGAAGCCCAACTTCCAACACCTAGAACAGGACAGTTTCCCAGCACTGAGCGGTAAACCCAAAGAAACCTAGGAAGAATATAACCAAAACTTATATCCTTCCAAGACCTATTGCAGTCACCAACGGTCAGTGACAACAGCGACAACAAGCTGCGGCGAGGAGAGAAAACGCCCGCCGG